TCCCCCACAGCCATCGTCAGAAGAAGTTGAACCCGAAGTTGAAGGTCCCCAGCGTGCTGGCCGTGCGACTCGCGCAGCTGATGCACCTGAAGATGTGTCAGCCACGGAGAAGAGCACGCGTACTGTCAAGCCGCGGGCTGTGTCATCTCCCGCCAGGAAACGTCGAGCTGCAAGAACGGCTGCTGTTGCTGCTTCTACTCCCAACACCAAGACTGAAACCAAGCCCGCAACGAAACGGGGTCGCCAAGCTGCCGCGGAGCCTAAAGTCGATACTACTGCCGAAGCACCCAAAAAACGCGGCCGTCCTGCCAAGACTGAGGCACCTGCTGCTGAGCCCAAGACGCGGAAGCGAGGTCGTGCAGCAGCCACTGAAGAGACTGCTGCAGAGGAACCAGCACCTAAGAAGCGTGGCCGAGCTGCCAAACCTGCCGTAGAAGAAGAAGCTGTACCAGCTCCCAAACGACGCGGACGAGCAGCTGCCTCAGAGGCCACTGAAGCGGCTGAGCCCGCGCCTGCTAAGAAGCGCGGCGCGGCGAAGACCGCGACAAAGATGAACGACAATGCTACCACAAGCCCCGAAGTGGCCCCGAAGAAGCGTGGACGCGCAGCTGCTTCAGCAAAGGCCACTGAAGAGGTGGCAACCGAGACAGCCACCAAGAGCGGTCGCGCAAAGCGAACTGCGCCCGAGCCAGAGCCAGAGGTTGAGTCACCTGAACCTCCGTCTAAGAAACGACGCACAACACACAAGGCCGATGAACCTGCTCCTGCTAAGCCAAGTAAGACTACCACTGGTCGAAAGGTTGGAAGGCCCGCAAAGGCTACAAAGGAAACTGTTGAAGAGCCAGCGCCCAAGCGTGGCAAGGCTACTCGCACCAAAGCTGCTGAGCCTGCTCCAGTTGAGGAAGCACCCAAGCCCGCTGCCAAACCCCGCGGCCGCGCTGCCGCCAAGAAGGCAACGGAACCCGCTGTTGAGGCAGAAGTTGTGAAGCCCAAGGCCCGCGGACGGCCCGCAAAAACAAAATCTGGAAAGGGAGAACTTCCCAGCTCCAAGAGCGCCGATGCTCCTGCGACGAAACGAGGACGAGGAACAGCAGCTAAGGCTACTACTGCAACTACCAAGGCCAAAGGCTCTACCCCCACCGGAGTGACCAAGACAGGCAGAGCAGCACAGACTGGTGTCCGAAGGGGACTACGATCAAGGGGTTGAAGTGATGTTTGCTATCTATATGTAAAACCTTTGTTGCGTAATGAACAACGGTTGGACGGTTTCTGTTTTTCGTATCATGTTAGATCGGTATTCGCAATGATTAAGGCTTGGCTTGGGATGGGTATCATGAGAGTAACATATGTATATGGAATAACAACAAGTTTCACATGTATGGCGTTTTGATTGCGAATGCTGACTTGCAACGCTTGCAAACATACTGCATTTGAGGGGTGCTTCGATAGCTGAAGTTATGTCCTGGATTTAGAGAGCACTCCAGTCACATTATGTATGTATGTATAGAATACTGTATATATTAATGTCTCGATATTCTTATCCAAGTCTAGCGAACCGCAGAGTTTCCCAAGCAAAAGCTAAAACACCACAACTACTTTATATAATAACGACCGAATATCAACAGAAAGGTATCTTAAATCTAGAGAAACAAAAATACGATGCCAATATCACTCATACAGATCCTTATCAACGTCACCGTCCTTGTTTGCATGCGGGGTCGTCACTTTGATACCGTTCTCCAGTCGCGAGAGTGTCATGATATACCCCTTGTGGTTACACCAGCTACGCACCATCTTGACGACCGTCTTGATCTCTCGTCCGTTGAGTTGCCACAAGGATAGCTCTTTCATGTCCTCGTCGTCGAGTGGTTTGTCATCATAGCTGGTGCTGAGCTCGTCTTCGCCATTCTCATTCGTGCTGGCATTCTGGGGCGTGGTAGACGACTCGTCCGTGACGTCTGTAATGCGATTGTTCTCGGGCAGTCGCTGGAGGAACTTGCGCCAAACAGTCTCGCGGGCCTCGCGAGTCAGAGATTGGAAGAGAAGATGCAAGCTGACTCGGCTGCGGAATGCAGTATCGATGGTGTGATACAGGTTGGTCGTGAGAAAGATGATGCCGCGAAAGTATTCCAGTTCACGAAGAAAGATACTAACAAGTTCGTTGCGATGGATGTCATTCGGGTTTCTGTCTGCCATGAAGACATCTGCTTCATCGAGCAGAATTACAGCGTTCCACTCTGTTGCCATCTCAAAGACGCGCTTGATGTTAGCACCCAGAGAAGCGGCATTGATGCCAAGATCCTCGGCTTGCAGATAGAACAGTGGCCGATGAGTCCGGTCTGCGATGGCTTCAGCCATAAGTGTCTTGCCTGTGCCAGGTGGACCGGACAGCAGCATGATGAGGCCCTGGCCCTTGCCAACAATGACATCCTCCATGGCGGTTAAGGCACCATTGTTAAGACTGTGGTTTTCGACGAAGGATAGAACCAAATCCTTCTGCTGTTCGTCAAAGACAAGATGAGAGTATGCCTGGTCGTTCCATACAATCGGCTCCAAATCCTCAACGTAGAAGTAGACTGGAAATTGTTAGCACAAGCACAAAGTACAGAATCGTAGCAGTCTCACCCCATAGCTTGTTCTTCAATGCATAACCGCCAATCAGCTCAGACATAAATGCCAACTCGCCAGGCTCCTGAAGAAGCTCCTCCCTATTACTTGCTTGCTCCTTCTCGTTGAGCCTCCTTTGTTGGGTCTTGGGATGCTTGCCCTCGCGCTTTGTTTCCGCAAGGTCTTGTCTGCGGCGACGTCGCGAGACATCGACGACTTCGATTTCCGGGTCCTGGTTCTCGCGCTTGCCCTCAGCAAGCTGGAATTTGTTGTAGCCTACTACATCGACCAAGATGCGACATTCCACATTGTGCTTTTCGACGCTTCTTTCTCCCGGGTGCAGGGCAATGCCGTTGTAGGAGCAATATGTCAATCCCTGGAGGTCGAGAACCTTTCTCCCCCGTGCCATCAACCGCTCTTTGATAGCATCCTTATCTAGATGCATATCGAAAGGGTAATGCCGAAGGTCGCGAATCGGTTTGTTTCCGGCAAACTCGTTAATGGTCAAAAGTTTCCTCCTCCAGACGAACTCTTCTCCATTGAAGGCCATGACTTTGACAGTGATCACAAGCTGCGCAAGACCATCACTGGTATCATACTCTGTACCCTCCACCTTTCCTATAAACTCAGAGTTCATCCCAAAGCTATAGACTGTTGAGTCCCTAGGGAAGAGAGTCCAAGCAGTTCGGAAATCAGTGAGACCCTTATCAAGCAGGTTGCGTCGTTTGATCTTGATGTCGCGGAAGATCTCATCAAGAGCCCTTAGGAAAAGCTGCAGAAACCCCTTGAGGGGGTCGCCTTGTTTGGTCTCCTTATATAAATGTCGGATCTCATCTTGGCAGAACCAGAGAGGGCGGAAAGGCTCTTTAAAGATGGCGACATCGTGGACGTCGAGATGTATATTCTCTTTCTTCACGATGGGCTCGAGGGCGTTGAGAAGAAGTGGGTTCTGGATATCGACTCGATGGTATTTGAGAGGGTATCGACCGGAGATGGCAGATTTTTCAAGGTCTCTGACTTTGTAGACCCGAATGGCAACACGGTCTCGAGCTTTCGCAGTAGACTCCGGGACTTGCTTGGGAGGATAGTCTTGCCAATCCCATTCGTTCCTCTGCCCGTTGGAGTTCTTGCCCTCGTAGAGGGTTTGTATGGTAGCATCGGCACCAAATGTGGGATCTTTCTTGCTGTTTTCCTCACGTTCTTGGTACTCCTTCTGGAGGTCGACAGGCTTGTCCAGAGGCGAGCTCTTGCGATGTAGAAGCTTGTACGTCCATTTCCACGTAAAGTCAGAAATATTCTCTCCAATGTTGTCCATCATTGTGAAACGGTGTCTGATGATATAAGGGAGAGATCGGGGTGAAGTAGAGAGTAGGGAGGAGAGAAGGAAAGTCTTTTCAACAGGGCAATGGGCATATTTGACCATGAATTAGTTGTGTCTAACTGGCCTCAAAAAAGTCCTAGCATGGAAGAGAAAAGCCACAAGTCGTGCTTCGCCTCGATCGTATTGCAGCGAAGCAAAAGATTGCTGATTTCGTAGCTCAGGACATGCTGTTGCCTGGTATGGCTCCCCGTCAACGCTATTGTCAGCCCCAGATGGCATCACGTCCAATTGATGGTAAAATGCATTGTTATTGGGGACAGCCATAGCCCTGCGCCGACTGCATATTGACGAGGCTTAACTCGAGCGGGACATTGAAAAGCCTGCAGGTAACCAATGGATAAAGCGTCGTCCTACAAGTCAGTATTGTTGGTGTTACACACGACTTCGAAGCTGCCCTAATTACTCAGTACGTACGCTATGAACCTAGGACTTACAGCAAAGGCCTACGCCGCTGAATCCAGGGAGCTTGGGCCTCTGCTTGCCCAAGTAGGCAATTAGCTCGATATGGTCTGCCGGAAAGATTGAGGCTGATTTGCGTTGTCTTAGTCGATTTCCATGATCCCTCAGCCCTACTCAGCTCCAATGAGGCGCCGCCTCAGCACTAGGCTTCCTACAAGGCATTGTTGGGGTGAATGGATGCGAGTATGATGATGAAATTTGTTCAAGTTTAACCGGAAATGTTGTTGAAAGAACCTGACTTGCGCTACCAACAATCTTGCTACCTAGCTACCTACCTTGACGCTCTCAAATGAGTGGTGGTAGATACATAGCTGCCTGCATAACAGACAAGAAACGCAGAATCTGGATTAAGTCAAGACATATACAATTTGGGCCAAACGGATTGCAAAATCAGGCTTCCAGAGGGTCAATAGCCTTCAATGGAATAGCAACTTCATATTATGACATCATTCGAAGAAAAGCAAAGCTCGTTAAACTCTACGTATTGGCCGTCGGGCTAACAGTGTCGCACAGCCACGTTCACAGGTTAAGATAAAGTCGAGAATTTCAACAAGCGGGTTTAGCTCAGTTGGGAGAGCGTCAGACTGAAGTCAAACTTCATTCAATCATTCGATATCTGAAGGTCATGTGTTCGATCCACATAAACCGCATGTTTCTTTTCTTTTGGCATCTACCACGATGCTCCATTATTTTTTTGACCCCAAGCGACGGATCCCTGGACATTGTGGATGGTGGTGGTGTCTCTTAAGACCAACCAACAACAACCATGATTAGTAACAGGGAAGCACAGCGTCTCCGAGCGAGATCACTGTATAAGCGGTATGTCTTGCTGGTCATATGCAGGAAGGAGAGTGAGGTACCAGCAGGCTCGTTGGATAAAAGTTAACAGGAGCTGTTGAATGAGGGCATCGCGAGAGTTTAAAACACTGCGACCGCGATGCGCTCCAGGAAGATGTGCTCTACAAATGTGGAGTCCCACGGTTGATGGTTACGCATACACATACTCCTGTAGCTATAGCCCATTGTTGAAGTGTGATTCGAATATTATAAGAAATGTTCTGCCGTTCTTAGACCATGCGATGTATGTAGATTGGCCCCAAACCTCCAAGGTTCAAGTTGCGCTCCATCTACGGCATAGATCATGTCGTTGAAAGCTGGCCGGCGAACCATCACTGACAACATACGTCTTACTAATCTCAAGACTTTCTGCTGTCGAGAAGGTACGGAAAAGACGGCGATGATAATGTAAGAGAGCATAACCCCATTTCTCTTGAAGCTATACCCAAGAACCTACGTCACAGCCGAGACAACAACTGCTCAGCCTGGGCTTGTAGACAGCCAGAAATGGACAAATCCTCAGAAAGTGCCAGGCTTGGTCTCTCTTGAAGGGCTTTGAAGTGAAATGTATTGTTAGTCGGTTCCCATAGGCTATGGACCTGATGGCTCACCATAGATATGAAGGACAACCAACAAGCACCTCACAAATCCATACACAGCAACTATACGGCCCCAGTATCCCCCAGAATCCCCAAAGACAACTTCAAAGAAGCGTAATCGACAGACAAAAAAATATGCAGTTGCGTAGTTTGCCGTAAAGGTGATTGGAAGATCGTCTTTATTCCCAAGGCAGAGGGCGCTGACCGCTGCCAGTTGTATAACAGCCTTACGCCGGAACCCGATGGAGTGCGCGATGGCGGAACATAAGCCGGAGAGTTTGCGGACCCTGATAGAGATCTGATGTCAGTGTACTTTGGAGACTAAATTGCTGTCACGGAGCCTGGAGCAGAATGAGAAATGGTTGCTGGAGCGTGGATACTGTAGATATGCAGCTTGAGGATGACTAGTAGACATATAGCAAATTCACTGTAAAGGATTTGAATTCCAGAAGCATAGAAGAATCTCTACTGGGAGAAAGACGACTGTTTCTGGTGTGTGGTAGCTTTGAGCCAGGCTTCTGGAACCCAAAATGAGAATGACGCTCAGTTACAAGATGCATGTTTCCTTTTCAACAAGCATGGCCATGGTCCCAAGACCCGCCAGTGTCCGCACAGACAGAAGTTGGGTCTATAAAGACTGTATTAGATCTAGCAGGCTGCATTCAAACTGCCAATGCCTTGCCACTGCTTGCCAGTGCTTCTCTTCAACCTCAGCAGACGATCCACCTGGCAACCACCACCAAACATCACCACACAAATCGTCATTTTCTTTCTTGAAGACTATTCTCCTTCACCGATATTTATTCTTCTTGACCGCACTTTGGAGTTGTTGTTTTACAGCATAGGCTTCTCTATCCCTCCAGCGCAGCTACCCGAACACCGCAGGGACAAACCTACAGAGCTCTTTCTTTTTCACCACCACGATGAGAATTTGTTTGATGACTGGCAAATACTCTTTGACACGAAGCATATAATCCAGCCCCAATCTCCCTCTTTTTATTCTTTCTTTGATCCTCTTATTGTTGTTATCCCCCGCTTCACGCACGTTGCCAGTGACGACGGCTTCTAGAATCAATGGGAGACGGGATGAATGAATAGAAACGAAGCTGCATTGTCCAATCTATTCTTCTCTTTTTCTTTCTCTTCTTTTTGTTATTGCTCCGAGACCCATTCAATCAGAACAATAGACAATTCACTGAGAATTCTCAAATACAGGTCTATAAATTGCTCTAAATTCCCGCCGACCTTTTTTCGAATCTTGATCCTCTTGGCATCTCGCACTCTACTCTACTCTACACAGACTAAAGACTTCCAGCATTTGAGCTATTCTTACTTCTCTCTAATCGACATTCTACGCATTCAATCTTGACATTCCTCTCAAGATGAAGTCCCCTTCTACTCCGGAGACTCACAAGAGCTCCAGCAGTCCCGAACTCGACGTTACTCCCCTTCCCACGCAGCAGAGCACCCCCTTTACCGAGCTGGACAATAACGACCCCCAGTCTCGCTTCAAGAAAGCCATGAACTATTCCTCGCTCTTCAATGACTCTCCCAGCGTTCGCAAGGACCGAGACTCTGGTGTTCAAAGCACTTTGTTCACAACCCCAGCACCAGTTGGATTGCCCATGTGGAACTCGTCGCTCGTTTACAACTCCCAAGAGCCCATGGGGAACAACTATCCTGGCTCCAAGGGCTTTGTAAGCGCCTTCGGCCATGTGCTGCCAGCTCAAGCTCAGCGTCCTCTGGCCCAAGATGCTACGGCATACAGCTCCCTGTTTGCCCGGCAAGCCAGTCCTGCCCACCAGCCTGCTGTCTCTCCCGTTGACCACGCTTTTTCTGCACGAAAGACCAATCCCGCCACTCTGGCGCCCTCTCCAGACATCTGGAAGAGTCTCAAGGATCACTTTCACCAGCTCGAACTGAACGGACAGGAAGCTCCTGCACCGGTACCCCCTCAAGCTCAGGCTCAGACTCAGGCTCCCAGTGCATTCACCCCGAGTGCCCAACCCTTCCAGCTTCCCAGCTGGCTCAACCAGAGCCTGCAACAGCAGTCTTTCATCAACAGTAACCCTACTGTTACTAATCAACTGGAAAACCCAGCTCTTCGTCAACCCTCGACCCCTCGTGGCTTCAGACCTATGGCTGCCATCGCCCACACTCGCTCCAATGTCTGCCGCGTTAACTGCGATGATGACACAGTCGAGCCTGTCACCTTCTCGGGCAACTACAAAGGCGAACACACGATCCGTAACGCCAGCGCAATGAACCTTTCCCCCGAGGAAAACTGCGCCCTTTGGCTGACCAACCTTCCACCGGATGTCACTCATCGCCAGCTACTCGCGCAGATCCGCAACGTCGGTCGCATCTGGTGCACCGTCATCAACGAGCCCGACTACGAGCGTCATGACACTGCTGCTGCCAAGGTCGTCTTCTTTACCCCTGGCCCTGCCCAAATCCTCCTCTCCAAATCCCTCACCCAGGGTTTGCAAGTCGGCAGCCACGCCGTCCGTGTCACCCACAACCGCGTTAAGTATGGCGAGCAGCCTGTCGTCGGAGCTGCCTCACGAGTTCTCTTAATCACCGGAAAATCGAGCTTTGTCAACGCCGAGAGCTTAACCGAGTTCTTCGAAGAGCGCTTCGTCTTCGAAATTGATGAGATCACGACACTCATCATTCGCGGCGAGGCAGAGAATGGCGGCCGGTCCGTCATCGAGTATCGCTTCGGCAGCTTTCGATGCCAGGCACAGATGGGAAAGATGGCGCTAGAGAAGGATCGCCCCCAGGGATTTGAGAAGGTCGAGTTTGGAGAGGATCCTTGTGAGGTCGGAGACACCCTGGCGGCCTACACTATCGCTGCGGAGCGGATTCAAGGAAAGGGAATCTGATACCACAGGAGCTGGGTGAGGTGTGAATGAACGTGTATGACGAACAGGAATTTTTGGACAGGGAAGCATCTTGCTCGGTACTTTGAGAGAGCTATGTTTCCAGCTCTACTTAATCACATATGCACAAAAGGATGAATAAAGATCACACAGAATAGATTAGACGTCAAAGTAGACGTCTTGCAGACATAGCATTCAACTGAATACAGCCTGAGATTAGATTGCAACTGCTCATCGAATTTCTGAAGCCATGACCTGTGCTAGCCTACCTGTACTGACATCGTGGAATGTGTAGCATCGTCACGGACATGCCCGTTTTCATGATGGCTCAGCTCAGATTGAGTTCACGATGGTCTAAATTTAGCTCTTAAGGCTGAACATGTGAAGCGCCTGTTAGCGTAGATGTCGTCCACTGCGGATAAGTGGCGCACAAAAGTTAACGTTGAACCGAGGTGGTTGGTCGAGGAAGCCATCCCGCTTCCGGTCTCGTCGATGTAACCTTGGATTCTGCGCATGGCAATGTCTTCCGAACTGGCCATCAGCGGCCTTGCGAGATAATGGTATTATACTGAGAAACAGGGGTTGAATTCATCGCAAAGCGTTTATTTCTTTGGTACATATAATAGATCGTCATAATTGAACTCCATCAACGCCGCTCTCGTCTAAGAATGCTGGTATAAGCCGAGTAGTATACAAAACAGAAGAAATGGCCCTATTAATCTATCGCTTTATTGATTCGTCCCAAGGAAGCCACGACTGGCGGTCGAAAGAAGGCATACACTTGACCTTCTCAGGCGGCTCAAATTGCCATTCGATATGAGCTTTGTCTTCCTCCATGTGTTTCACCACTTCGTTCGTAAAGCCTTTGAGCTTCTTGATATCTTTTCCCCTCGCATCTGTGTACTCCAGGCTGATGCTGGGCACGACTGCGATCTTGCGGTAGCCCTTGTGCCATAGATCCTTGCAGAATAGTTGTGGTTCGCCTTGGAAGCACTCGTCTTTTTTGGGGTCGCGAAAGCGCAAGCCATGGAGAATTGGTGCAGCGGTGAACGCGGTCGCGCCGTTCCAACATGCAAAGACTTGAAAGGGAAGATGGGCATCGTATCTCATTCGGGCTTCTCGGTTTCCTCTGAACAGGTCCCAGGCATTGTCCCATGATCCGTCTTTGGGGATGGGAAAGAAGGTATCTCCAGCAAGTGTTCTGGCGACCTGAGAATCTGTTAGCTTTCGATTGTACCCTCAGTGTCTGACTTCAACTCACCCAGACATCATAGAACGTTGGATCAGGTCCAGCATAGGTGAAATCCATGGCACAAGTCATATCGGCATTGA